ATGTTTGTATTCACATAATATTTATTGCTAAAACAAGCATCATGATCTAATAAATATGAGACCTATAAATAAAAAATATATCAATCCAAACAGAATTACTAAAATAATATTGTGAAATAACTTGCGAAAAACTGCATTTCAAAAACATGAATTCATACACGTTAAGTACAACCTTGTATTTTTAGTGTTAATAGTGCCTATTCATTTCAAATCAAAACAAAAAAATTAAAGAGTTTAGATATTTGTCTGTCATTTAATTCAACAAAAAAAAATGAATTAATACAAACTTAGATGCAATAGCATTCTCTTAAATATGTCCCTTGTAACAAACTATAATTTGAAATTTTGAACTACAATGCAAAAAGATGAACCAAAGTTGATACTCCAAAAGTATAATGCTTCGTTGTTGAGAAATAAGAAAGTGTTTATATCTCTAAAAATAATAATATAAGCCACCTTTTATAACATTAGGAATAAAAAAAATAGGTTTTATATGATCTTCTTAGCTTATTGATTAACCATTAACTAAAATCTAAGAACTGAAAATTGAACCGATAGTTCAATAATTTTAATTTACATAATCGTTAACCTAATAACCTCACAACACTAAATTAACATTTTTTTGTTTCAATTTATCAGTTAAATTGATTTTTTCACACACCTAATTTTGAAGGGCCTTAATTATATCAATAATTGTATTTTTTTTGTGGTTTTTAAAATAATCAAAACTTTACCATTTGGTAAAAGTTTACACACCAATGAAAACTGTATAAAGAAAAGAAAAATCAATTCCTCTTCCTGAATTTCAATTTCTATAAAGACAAATACATCTCTATTTGTTTTTCCTCAATTTTCATAAAATCGCACATACGCGAGAATAAAATTTTCCTCTTTATATTTTATATGATACAAAAGTTGTGGTTTCATCATTTTTTGTACTCCAGGATTTGTTTCATTTTCTTGGAAGTCCGTTTTAAATGTTTTAGACTGATTTTTCTTTTAAGTAGCTTGTAAATTAAAAGTTATAAGTCACAGATAATCATATGATCATATCCAAATTATCAATTTTAGGCTATTTTTTTGGGTACTTTTTTTACCTAGAAATAAATATTTTAAAATACTTTTTTATCTGTTTCAAACATCTTTCGTAAAAAAACTTAAAAATAAAAAAATTACTTATAAATCTATCTATATATAATATAAAGCTAGATAAAAGAAAAGTGACGTGGCACCTCTCTTTGGCCAAAAATTCTATTTATCTTTTTCTCATTTTTTTGACAATTTTTTCTATTTTTAAAATTATTATTGTACAAAAATTAATGTGCCAATTACTACTCCACTTATTCATATTATTTAATATAAAAATTTAATTGTCTTTATTTTCATTACTCCCATGTATTTTGATAACCATAACTCCTAATTCATATTAATAGAGTCATATTCATGATATCTTTTGGTATTCCATATTATGTCCTATAAATAGAGGCATTATAAATTTTTGTTTACAAATGAAATGATCAAATTTATATGTATAGTTGAGCTAGGTTATTAACTAGGTGATAAACTTGCTCATCGTTTTGACCAAGAATCACAATTTTTTTTGTAATTTAATAAAATAGCATTTTATAGCTCATATATTCCTTTCAACTTTTTACTTATATAAATTTAATTGTTTTATTGCAAGTGTCTTTTTTTGAATGGGAAAAATCATCTTCTCCATGATATTGATAAATTGATCGAATTTCAGTCTCGCAATTTAGTGAGAAAATTTAAACAAGGTCCCGCAAGATTATTGGCGAAAAGGTATACTTATTTTTCTTTTTTATTTACATGTAAGTCGTATTTTTTATTACTTGAATTTTATTGTAAGAAATTTGCAAGAGTTTAAAGTAATGCAAATTTTATATCAAAAGCTCAGTGTCAAATTGCTAAAAAGTCGTTTTAGTTTTTTTTTTTTAAATGTAAAAATTAATGGTTTTTATTTTCATAACTTCCATAAAATTTTATTATTATAACCTCTAAAATAATTAATAGTCATATTCATGATATTATTTGGTATTCTATATTGTGATCCTATAAATAGAGAGATTGTAAGACTTTGTTGAAATGAGCACATCAACATTTTAAGTTGTCATATTTTTAGTGTTTATTATGTTGATGTTTTGGTTCTTGAAGAATTAGATAAAGACTATTGAATGGTGATTATGGCTTGTGGAACTGGATATCAACAAGAGATCGGAAGATTGTACATTAATTTTGTATTTTTTTAATGTTTTAATAATTAAGATCGTAAGAATGATGTTGTATTATTTTTTTTATTTTTTTTAGTTCTCTCATGATTTCTCTTAATTTTGTATTTTATATAAAGTTTTGATTGTCGTAAATTTATAATTTCATTTCGTTCAAAATAGTAACCGTGACTTTGTTGGACATAATTATCTCTTCTTTTCTTTTTTATGTCCGTTTAGTTCCTTAAAAATGTCTAACTATAATTTTTTCCCATGAATTGTCAATTGTAAATATTTCATTACAAGTTTTAAATAACAATAAAATCTACACAATAATGCTAAGAATTCTGTTTTTTCTTCTTCTTTTTTTCCTTTACAATTTCTCTATCTTTTTTATTGTAGAATAATAAATATGTCAATTAACTATTCATTTATATTCTTTAACACAAAACTCAATAGTCATTATTTTCGTTACTCCCACAATTTTATTATCATAATATCTAAATATAATAGTCATAATCTTGACATTATTTGTTATTCATACTATAGTCCTATAAATAAAAGCATTGTAAGACTTTGGATAAATGATCACACGAGCCTTTTAAATTGTTATATTTCCGATACTTAAATTATTCATTCTTTAATTTGACTTGAAGAATAAAATAAAAGCTATTGAATGGTGATCGACTTGTGAAAATGGATATCGATAAAAGTTCAAAAAATTGTGTATTGATTTCATATTTTTTCTTTTTAATTTTTAATGATTAGGATTGTAAGCTGTGTAAAAAAATTGTTACATTTTTTTTTATGATTCCTCTTTATTTTTTATTTTATATAAAAAATTTCTTGTCGTAAGTTTAATTATATTTTCTTCTGATTTAAAAGAATAACTTATGATTTCGTTGGAAGCCATCTAACTACTAACCAAATATTTTTTCTCTATGAAATCAATTATGTATCTGAATAAATATATAATGACATCTTATCATTTTTTATAACCGCGGATATGCTCACTAGTAAAATAAATAAATCCGAACACCTTTGTTTTTATTTTGGGGTAAAGGTGGAGTTTTTCATTTTTCACAGATAGATAGATAGATATATTTGGGAGAAAAAGCTCAAAATAATCCTCCATATTTGAATTTAGAATCAAAGTAATCCTTATAATTTAACATGGAGCACTAATAGTCCTCCATGTTTCAACAATTGGTGCATATTTAGTACTCCCCTAAATAGCCGTCTAATTTTTTACGGCACTTTTCTTTACACGCGAGAAATGCTTTCTGAACTCAAACCCTCCCCGTCTTTGTTCTTCTTCAAATAGTATCAATACCTAATTTATCCATCATAACTCTGTTTCTTTCATCTATTTGCATAAATGAAACAGACCGAGAAGTAATATTCAATATGTCAGCGGCGTTTCAATGATTTTTGAGGAATGCCTTTTTTTTTTCCATCTCTTTCAATGGAAGTCTCAGGCAGAAGAAAAATTCTTCATTTGCAAAGCATTCTTCATCATTATTGATATATGTGCATCTATAGGAAACGTATTTGCACACCAGATACTCGACCAATTGTCCCATTGATCATTTTGATTGTCCCAATTATGACATATACATGCTAAACATGAGTGAGCTCGAAGACAATTAGAGGCACGCGATAATCTAGAAGAGAAACCAGGCAGATTCAAGCTCTACCTAGCGGAAGTTTATCAAATGCAAGTTTTGATAGAGAATCCGAGATAAGAGGCGGAAAAAATGAGCCAAGAGTAGTTGAGATCAAATAATTGTAAAACGGGTGTTTCGAAATGCTATCACATGTTGACATAGTATTGAATAATGTATCTTTTCATTTTGCAATGTAATGAATTTTGCTATGGAACAAATATGATGTATGTTTGGTTTCAATTTGTTTGGTCCCTTGAATCTTCACAAAGAAATTTCCATATTTCAAATCAGAATTGCATCATATTTGCACTAAATTGCACCAAAACAGCAGTAGAAAAACACCCAAACTGCACTAGAAATTCACCACAACATCACCAAAACTGCACTAGTAAAGCACCAAAACAGCACCAGAAATGCACCATACCAGCAGCTCCTAATTTGCACTAAAACAACACTAGAATTGAACCACAAACAATAGCAGATTCGCACAAAAAACTACACCAATTTTTTTTTTTTTGAAAAACAATAACAAAATATAGTTTCTACTTGTAAAACAAGAGGTGATCTATTTTTTTGTAAAAATAAATAAATTGATCTTTAAAATGTAACTGCATTTTGTTGGATTGGTAGTATTTTTTCTTGTCCAACTTCAACATATCTCGTCCACGTGTTGAATTATTCCGCCGTCGATAGAGTTTGTTCTAGGTTGTTATTTTCATCTTTCTCTTCTTTTTTTCTGCCGCTCAAACATGGTTCATTGTAGGAAGTGAGAGACAGGGAAAATAGAGATTCAATTTTGAGGGGAAAACTTTCTCACGTGGACAGTTTATAAGTCCATTAAATATTAGACAGTTGTTTGATGAAGTATTAAAAGTGTACCAATTCTAAAAATATGAAGAATTATTAGTGCTCCATGTTAAAAGATAAGGATTACTTTGATTCTAAACTCAAAGATAAAGGATCATTTTGAGCCTTTCCTCTATATTTGGCGTAAGCTATATTTTCGGAAGGTACGTGTCGGGCACAAGTCGAAACGGAGCTCCAGATCCGCTTCCATTGAATTGTCTCGGGCACAAGAAAACCTGTCATCTTCAATTCATCCACCAATTCTTCATTTCTTCCAGGAAAAAAAAAACCATACCGATTTCGCCAATCTCATCTTCTGTAGATGATTAATTCATAGATATGTTATCATCTTCGTCGTCGAGTTCGATGATTCGTCGTGTTGTTCCCTTCTTCACCACCCGGATTCGTCAAAATTACCGACTTTTGAATTCCTCAGCTTCTGCTCTATCACAGCCCCAATCTCAATCTCAATCTCAAGTCGAAGCTACAGATTCCGTTGTAATGACTGAGAACTGCGTTCGTGTAAGTTTTAATATATCTCTCGGTCCGAAGCTTTCCCTTTTTTTTATGCTTAAAAAATGTCTGTGCTGATTATTTTTTTAAAAATTCTGGGAAAGACTTTTTGCGAGAAATTTTCAAGATTCTTGTGCTATATCTTATTGAAACATTCGAGATTTGATACCTTTATGTTTAATCAGTTAAATTTGTTCAGTTGTTCTGTAAAAGATTGTTAATTTCTAAGTGAATAGTTCCAAACTCCATTTGGGAAAGGGTTTTTTTGGTAACCGTGGTATATGTGACTATGTGAGAGCATAATCACTTTGACGATGACATTCTAGTTTTTATACTGTTTTATAAGGTTTGATATTGTACTGTTTAGGTATGAATTGCTTGTAAAATTGAGTTGAGACAATTTACTAACTTGGTCCTTTTACATGCCTGAGTAGAGGATTAAAGAGTTGCAAGCTGGCGAACATAAAGAGAAGATGCTTCGTTTGAGTGTTGAAGCTGGCGGTTGTTCCGGGTTTCAATATGAATTCTCTCTAGATGATAAGACCAATTCGGATGACAGGTTTGCTAACGGTTTCTTGTATTTCACATCCTATACAGTTTTGGGAGTATTATACCAGCCTTCCTTCAGTTATAGAAAGACCCCTATTTGTCTTCACTAAATTGTCTTAAAGCAAACTATTGAGTATTAGAATGAAATGAGGCTGAATAAAGGGAACTGGATGTAGAGGGCTTATATATCCAACTCCAAGTCTCCAACTAGTTTGGGATTGACACAGATTTGGTTGATTGATTGATAAATCCTGTTCTTGGTGGTCCTAAGGAATCTGTCAGATTTTGAAGCATGAGTTCAACATCCTGCTCCCCCATATCCCACCCCCCAAAACCACTTAAAATGCTCTAAAGTTTCATATACTGCTACTGTTAACATTTGTCATTATGTTGCTTATTTTGCTGTTCATTCATTTCTTATATTTTGTAGAATTTTTGAGCATGACGGAGTTAAATTGGTTGTGGATAATGTATCATTCGATTTTGTCAAAGGTGCAACTGTTGATTATGTTGAGGAGCTGATCCGCTCTGCTTTTCAGGTCTGTAAAAGTAGCTTTTTACATTCAATATTGCTATTTTTTTTGCATGTCAGATACACATGCATATTGGTGTTCTAGATCAATTGCATGATGGATGCCACTATTCTATTTTTCCGTTTCTGTTTGTCAATGAGGCAAGAATTAGGGCAGGCATTAGCTTAAGCCCCGAAAGACTTGCCATTAAAAAATATGAAGAAGTACCACTGACCACTCTTGTGGGATTTCACTGGTTATGTTGTTGTTGTACCACTGTCCACTCTACTAGCCTGGGGTAGTACATAGTAGTTTTACATTCCAACAGTAATTAATCTAGAAATGTCTAGGAGTCTTATAAACTAGAATTTTCATTTAAAAAATGCATGGAGTAATGTTTAAGAATTTAGCTGCTTTTGGAGGAGGGGAAAAATAACTTCCTACTTTTTAAACAAAGTATGTTGTGTTCTGTCACACTTGGAACAAAGAAGCTGCACTACATGAGGAGTACCATGAGGTCTCAGTTACATTACCTTTATTGGGAAAAAAAGTACCATTAGGTCTCGGGTTCAAATCCTAACGGAGGCAAAACACTCTAGGTGAGCTTTTCCCATTTGTCATAGTTGTGGTGCGCAAGCTTTGTCCAGACCCAACATAAATAAAAAAATCTATCTATCTGTATCTATGTAATGGAGGGCCAATGAGAGCTGACATGGCACCTCTCATAGATTAGGTTGTATTTATCTATTATCTCTTTTTTGGTTTGTTCTCCGGTTAGTTTAATACTTTACTACCTAGAAAATTGAAATAAGGAAAAGAGACGACGTTTTGGGTTATGAGGAGATTTCAGTTATGGCTTTATTATTACCTACAAAACTGAAATAAGGAAAATTTCAAGGAAAATAGTTGACGTTTTGGGATATGAGGAGATTACAATTATGACTTTGATTACTACCTACAAAACTGAAACAAGGAAAAGAAGAGACTCAGATATGGAATATATAGAGAATCTCATTAACTGGGTAATTGATAAGAACATTGGTTATATTTAATTAACATTCCAATTATAGTTTGCTTGTGAAAGGGATTTAGTTGAGGGTACTCTGTGGAGTAATGTGGCATATTCATCGCGTTCCAGAAAAATCAGTATGATAGATTACAGGAACTAAATCTGAGTTAAAGTTGATTTCTTATTGTTCGGAGAAGCAGTGGCTCCTTTTCATGAACTGATATTTGCTAATGGTATGGCACACTTGAGATGTGATGTGCCACACATTATTCTAACAAGTCAGCTTGGTAAGTCCTTATTTTATTTTATTTTAAACTGGTAGCTTTGTATATATATATCTTTAAACAAGTCAGTACAAAGGTTGTACTACAACCATATCTACATGAAGCTTTCCAAACAAGCTATGATCCTATTATCTGTAATGAGTCTAAAACATCATCAATAATAGAAATTGAATCATTAGTAAAGATCTGATTAGACCAAAAAACACAGATCAACTTGGTAAGTTTTCTATTGTGATTTTAAAAACTGTCTTCTTCCTATTTCTTTGTAGTGGAATGTAAAGTATGAAGTTTTTAGTTTTGACTTCCTAGAAGTCTTCAGATTTTAAAATTTTGTTTCTTCGGGCTTTAACAAGTAGTGTGAGAAACCTTGAGAATACTATTACTTTAACTGAGAAGCATGATTAAAATGGTCATTCAAATGACTAGAAATTGTTGATTTTTAGAAGACTTGAAATCTAAAATTAACATGAAATTATACAGTCGGCATCTATTGATTATCCTATTTCTTATTTATGCAACTTTTCAGCATGCAAACACCAAATTTTGGTGGTTTTAAGCTCAAATAATACTTGTGGAAACTAACTTTTAATTTGGCTCATAACGTTAGAATTGGCCAGAGGTGATACATTCATCTAGTTGCTTTGCTTCTGATACAGAAGTTGTTCTGTATGTATTTAGAAGAAGGGAAGGGAGGAAATGAGAAAATGGAAAAATATAATTAAGGAGGGGGAGGCGAAAAAATAAATTTTGTTTGATTAGCTTAGTCAATATTACAATTACAAACATGAATTGCCATATATTTAATATGGACAAGCATGACTCTATATTTGTTAGCTTAGATCAGTGAAATCCAAACATGTACGTATATATAGTCCTTCCGGTTAAATCCAAATTGATACCAGCTTTTATAGATTTCTAAGCAAAAGCCAAAGGAGTACTCTATTCTTCCTCCCTCCCCTTTCCTTCCTTACTTAATATAGTCAACATTGATTTGTATTCTTTTCTTTATGACTTGGTGTCCAAATTGTTATACGTTGTGTTGATTAGTGTCACCTTATACATTTGACTGATAAATCATACATGTTAATATTTGTCTTTTATTGCAAATGATGTTTTCTTTTCGAGGGGGTGTTGCAGTAGTTCCGTAATACTGTTAACATTGATCTGTACTCCTCTTTGTGACTCAGTGTCCAAGTTATTGTACACTGTGTTGATTAGTGTCACCTTATTGAAGGGGCTGATAAATCGTACGTAGTTAATATTTCTCTTTTTCTGCAAATGATGTTTTCTTTTTCCCCGTCACATCCTTTCTTTCTTTCGGAGGGGGCTTTGCAGTAGTTCCTTAATATAGTTAACATTGATTATACTAATCTCTTTGTGACTCCGGGTCCCCAAATTATTGTATGTTGTGTTGATTAGTGTCACCTTATACATTTGACTGATAAATCATACGTAGTTAATATTTGTGTTTTACTGCAAATGATGTTTTCTTTTCCCCCCATCACATGTTGTATTAAGCACAGTGTGTAAATGCCATAAAATGAAAATTCTATGTACATTGAATTATATGTGAGATAAAGAGCCACCATCCAGGAGTACTAATGATTGCATATATCCTACTGGTGTATGCTTAAAGATTAAGATGTTTCCTCTTCAATTTATTTGTGTATGGATTAAGAATTTTTTCTTCTATCTCAACAAAATTTTCAAATATCATCTGATTGTAAATTGATTGATTTTTAGGACTGCGCAAAGCACGAACAATTTACTTGTAGATGAATAAAATGAAAAATACATGGCAAAAACTAGTATATTCCTAGGCCACAACTATGGTAGGTATCTGGATGCTGGAATAATTTCACAGATGCTTCTTTGGAGGAAATTAGAAGTCCTGATAATTTGCTGAGGGGGAAACAAAAAGGGGTGGCCACTGGCCTGCAAGCCTGATTTAGAAAAGGCTTATGACCATGTGAATTGGCAATGCTTGTTGACGTTGATGAACTTTGGAAAGAAATGGATAGAGTGGATCTAATTTTGTACTTCAACTGTGGAATTTTCCATACTTATTAAAGGTGACCCACAAGGTTTGTTAAGTTCTCAAAGAGGTCTTAGGCAGGGGATCCTCTCTCACCATACTTATTTGTTCTGGTAATGGAAATCCTCAGCACAATGTTGAGAAAAGCTGAAAGGTTGGGGTGGATAAGCGACCTTAAAATAGGCAGGTTAGATCAAGAAGGTATGATGCTTAATCACATTCTGTATGGTTTATGCAGATGGCTCTCTCCTATTTTGTGAAGCTGACAAAGTGCTGATGCTATATTTGGGAGGAGTTCTTTAATGCTATGAAGCTGTTACTGGGCTGAGAGTTAACCTAGTAAAGAGCAGTATTTAGCATTAATGCTGATGACTGTTGAGAAACTGGCTGATATCATGGGATGCAGGGGTAGAAAAGTTCCCACCACTTATTTGGGGCTTCCATTAGGGGTGAAAAGTGGGGATAAAAATATTTGGCAAAGTGGTCATTAAAAAGTGTAACAAAAATCCAACTCCTTGGAAAAAACAATATCTGTCTCTTGGGGGTAGACTACTTTGATCAATAGTGTCTTAGATGGACTTCCAACGTATACTATGTCTCTATTTTGTATGCCTGCAACATTGGTAGTCAGTTGGATTCCGTTAGAAAACAATTCTAGATGCTAATTCGGAAAATAAATCATGCTTAACCTGGCACTAGAACTATTTTATTTTCTGCTAGTTCCTCTTGGTTTTTCATCTAACCGCTTTTGTGCATGTTTACTGTCTTTCTGCAGGTATCTACCAATCCAAGTGCAGTGGGTGGGTGCAGTTGTAAAAGTTCCTTCATGGTGAAACAGTAATTTGACACTTCTGTAGCATTCAGCCCAGAAAATCAGCATTCCTCTAAGCTGGATGTGGTTTACTGCAAGGCCTAACCACTTTATTATGTTAGTCAATCTGGTGTATCTATTCATCACATTCTTCTACCGTTAAGGTAGCAAGACCTGCATTATGAGAATTTATACTTGTGAGGCGATAGATTCTTTATTTGTACATGCCATTTTTTTGCCTTGCTGGGGCTAGTTGGAAGTGCAGAATCTGGCTGTTAAATTAGGCAGGTGGGTAGGCTGTTGTATTGTAGGCAATAATTCCAGTTGAAGATATGGTTAGTTTTGGCTGGAGACATTGTACAAGGAATTTTGAAGTGAAGGGTTTCAAACAGAACACATGTTACTCTTAGTTATTGAAATAAAGGTCCGAGGGCATGTGGGAGAAGCATATTAGATAGCGTCCATATCCACTATGGTAGAAAGTTTTGATCAAACAATGGTGTTGTTTTATTTTTGCTGTATGATCTTTGACATCTATGTTGAAATTGAAATCGAAATGTAGAAAAAAGAACAATATTACCTGGGAGTTGAAAATTCTGAATTTGGATGTATACTTCACTTGTATATCTTAAGCTGGTTGGATTTGCAGTTGATTACTTTCATTTCTTTACAAAAAGTGGTAATTGTTGGTCATTATTTCTCAGTTATCTGAAAAACAAAGTGCTCACCTCTCTGAAGTCCTCAAATTAAAGAGTAACTAAAGTCTAGGTTCATCGCAATGAGAAATATAATTCGAAATTGTTTCAAGCTTTGTTTGAAGGGGGCTTATAACTCATGATTTATAAATCAAAAGTTCTAAGTAGAGTTTTTTAACTAAGCACATAAATAAGCCAATGCAAATTTAATAAGAAAAAGATGATTATAATAAACACTAGCAAAATCTTCCTGAAATTACTTTTATTAGTACGAAGTTTATAATGTGAAGTGGTTTAATTTTTTCTGCAGTTAGCCAAAAGGATGTCTCTCTTTTAAAACGTCGTCGTACTTTTTCGTCTTCTGAAACGTGAATAGCGTTAAACCCTGGCCTAAACCCCTTTGGGTTTGATGGTTCGTCAAATCGGATTCGAATAAAAATGTCGTTTTTAATATTGGGAAGAAGATCAACGCAGCTCTCTCGAATCCCACGCAAACTCCTCTTATTTTCTTGCACTTTTTCTTCTCAATCTCCTAATACTTCCATTTCCAATAATAGATCAACAATTTTTCATTCTTGGTACAGTTCATCCAATATAAGAAATAAAGGGTTCTCTTCAATTTTCAATGGAAGTACAAAAAACCCATCAGGGTCTTTATGGGGTGTTCGGTTTTTGAGCTTGGAGGCTGCTGTTGAGCCGACTACTGCTGATGGGCTTACTGTTGAGGGAATTATTGCTAAAAATTGGAATATACTTGATGATAGTGAGGATGATTGGAAAAGCCATGCTTCTTCCATTGCTCAGTCCGTTCATCTTATCAAGAAACGCCTCAAGGTATTTTTGTCTATCTGTAATTGTTGTTTGAAGCAGCTTTATACTTTATTTAGATTGACCACATCACTAAAAAGTTGTGATCTTTTTGCTTATTGATGAAAAAAGAGAGAAACTAGTGATATTTAAGTTCCGATCTTTGTGCTTATCCAGTGAGAAATATAAGTTTGTGATCTTTATGAAAAAAATGTGATTTTTATGTTTTATATGTTCTGTTTGGAAGACAGGATTCTACATTTTGTGTCTGATAATGGTAGTTTTTTCTTTAGAAAATTCCTCAGTAGGGTGAGTTTTGGGGGTTGGTTGGTTGGGTATTGAGGTAGGTGATGGACATGGTGAAAACTGAGAACAGACCAATGTGAGCTTCACATAGGGAAGGTTGCAGTAGGTTTACGACAAGTGTGCAAATAATCATCCCTTGATGAATCCTCTGATTGTTGTATTTGTTGATTGGATATAATAGCTTCAGTATTATGGCCAGGTACCAGACCGATTTAAATGAATGATCAATGTTTACATAACTAGTCTGGCAGGAAACTCGAGTTGTACTTGGGGCATGTTTAAGGGAGTGTTATTTTTGGTCTTTAGATTGAGATAATTATTTTAATGAAGTAATATATTACATGGCTCTTTTGAGAAGTTCTAATTCTATTTAATGAGTTCAGTTTTTTTGTTTGTGTTGTTTCTTTGCCTCCCATTTATAGTGGAAAAGGCTAATGTATAGGCTTGAAGTGCTGTCAGCTCAGCTCAATAAGGCAGATCTTTGGGATGACCCCGTCCATGCTGGGAAGATTAGCCGTGAACATGGTTCTCTAATGAACAAAGTGGAGGATGTTATGGCCATTGAACAAGAGTTGGTTGAACATATTGACATGATTAAGCTTGCCAGGGAAGAGAATGATCCAGAGTTGGAATCGGTGAGCTTAAATTTGTTTATTGCATGGAATCCACTACTCCATGTTTCCCATTTTTACACTATTCCACTTGTTTCAGTTTAATTCAGAATGTTGCAAATCAAATCCGATTCTTCCTCCTAAATTCAGTTTGTTACAGGCATATCATTGGATTTATATCAGTACTTTTATTTAAATATCACTAGTTTTGACCCTAGGGGCTCTGCTTAATTTGTATTTACCTCTTTTTTTTAAGTACTTTATTAGTAAGTTTAACTAACAGTCTAGTTCTTAGTAATGATTACTGTATTACTTGGAGCTGATATGCAAGGCTTTACAGCCCAATTCCTGCTTGGTATGACAAATAAATAAGTTCCTAACTCCATCTTCTGTATGAAACTGACTGCTTGGTTAGACCAAAACTGAAACTGGGAGCAGTTAAAATTTGTTGATTTTCTTTCCTTCCAGGAATAAGTAAGGAATGAGTTATATTACAAAGAAGTTGGGTTAAGTTTTATACAACTTCTTTTGTTATACTATATGTAATAATTTTGAACATAACTTGCAAATATCAACAGCCCAATACTTGTTTGGTAGAATGAATAAATAAACTATTGAACCTTTAACTCCATCTTCAAACTGATTGCTTGACTTGACGCCTTCACCAGGAAGGAACTTGGAAGGAATTGTTTACTCAATGTTTGTTCAATTACCCTCTTACCTGCAAATGCAATGTAGGCATGGTTTTTCTTCTTTCAGGTATAGGTATAGAATGATTTTTATAATGAAGTCAAAGTTAGGTTCTATATAACTTGTGTTATATTTTATGTTATAAAACATTATTTGTTTTCCTTTCAAGAAAGTGTGTATCTCAAGATACTCCAATTCAATTCTGATTTCTGCCACTTGTGAACCATATGGTATATGATTTGTGGATCAATTTTGTGAGAAATTCTATTGTCACTTGGCATTTCTTCCTATTTTATTAGTCATTTTGAGTGCAGGAATCAGTGAAAGCTCTACTCGGAATTAGAAGGAATGTGAAAGAAAAAGAGCTTGAAGCTTTATTATCTGGGGAGCATGATAATTGCTCTTGTTTTATAGAGGTTAGTTTCTCTGAAGCTCAGACTGTGTTTTAAATTGTCAGACATGGTTTTACTGATACTTATACCTTTTTGTTTGGATAACTTTTGTCTCCCTGGTCTTTGAGTGTGTACTTGTTTCTCCTTGTCACATCTTGTTCCAGAATAACTTAGAAGGACATCTCATAAGAAAAGCCACTCACATTGTTGATTTCCTCAATCATGTTTTTTTTGTAAAATGGATGCTGATAGACTTGTTATTTCCTGTGTAGGTTCAAGCTGGAGCTGGCGGTACTGAGAGCATGGACTGGGCTTCAATGGTCATGCAGATGTACAAATTGTGGGCTCAACATAAAGGATATGGCGTTTCTGTTGTGGATGAAATGCCTGGTGAGATTGCAGGAATCAAGGTCTAGGTTCTTACCATATTTTCTTCTCACTTGAAAACTATGTAGCTATTAAGTAGTATGGAAAATTGAAATTTGTGAATTGCAAAAACTCTTGGCTATTTAAAAACAAACATTAATTTTATAACATGCTGTTGGGAGAACTTGGTTTAGCCTTGAAGCATAACGGAATTGTTAAACAAATATGTAATTAATGTGTGTTTAAAATATGGGTTGTGAATCTTGTCATGGGTTCTAATTTGACCTGAAATTAGGAAGTTTTCCCCTTTCTTCTTAATTTTCAAACATGGCACTAGTTAGCTATTGTCTTATTGCTCTGCTGATTTCTGCTCCCTCATGTTATCAGCGTGCAACAATCAAAGTTGATGGCGAAAATGCTTTTGGATATGCCAAATCAGAGGTAGGAGTGCATCGTCTGGTACGCATCTCGCCATTCGATAGCGCGAAGAGAAGGCATACTTCCTTTGTTGCAGTTGCTGTAATTCCAATTTTGGGAGATGGATCTACCCATGTTCAAATCAATGAATCTGATGTTCGAATTGAGCGTTTTCGATCAGGGGGAGCTGGTGGTCAGTCTGTTAACACAACTGAGAGTGCTGTCAGGATAACTCATATTCCCACAGGCATTACTGCCTCTTGTCAGAATGAAAGGTAAGCATCCATTCTGGTGAAAAATATATGTGAGAGCTTCTTTCTTTTCCATAGGAAGAAGAGCAAATGGGAACTTTTAGTGCTCTAATATTTTTCCAAAAAAAAGGTCACAGCATTCAAACAAAGCTTCTGCCATGGCCGTTCTTCAATCGCGCTTGGACCAACTTGAGATGGCACGACAGGCTCAGATGAATGCACAACATACCCAGTCTCTCACTGAGATCAGTTGGGGCAACCAAATACGTACTTACGTGCTCCATGTATGTTTCATACAGTTTAACCTTTCATTTTACCTTCATAGTGATGGTTCATGTAGTCATCATAACTGCTCTGTATCATAATTGCAGCCTTATCGCATGGTCAAAGATCTCCGGACAAATTATGAGGTTTCAGATCCTGATTCTGTGCTTGAAGGGGATCTTGATGACTTCATTTTGAGCTTTCTTTCAACATCGTTAGACAAGGATGAAGAATGACCTCTTAACCTTAATTTTCGGGTTCCCTTGGCCAGTTGATAGTGAAATTGGATAACATAACTCCAATCTCAGCTCTCAGGTCAACTTTGTGGCACCGGGAGACGGCTTTACTGGTGCCTTATATTGCAGGAGAAAAAGCTCAAAGAAGTTTTTGTTGGTTACAACTCACAAGATATCATTCTTGCTAGTCCCATGGGAATAACATTACTGGTGTGCTGAAGTTTCAGTTCATGGGAATAACATTACTGGTGTGCTGAAGTTTCAGTTCATGGGAATAACATTACTGGTGTGCTGAAGTTTCACCATCTGAATCACATCATTTATACGAAGTTGATGAAATAATATCTTTGGATCAAGCTGCTACTCCCTTGCTAGGGAACTGTTTTATTTTTATCCAAGATCTGTAATTATCTTTATCAAAGAAAAGAAAAGAAGCAGTCAAACTGAGGTAGTGTACTTGTTTGCAACTGCCGTGATCAATTGATTGATTTTGTTGTTGAACCCTCCCAGTACGATACATAAGTTCTACACAAGCAACATTATGCCACTGAAATATTGAGTTCAGCAGAAAAACACTGATCTCAACTAGCAAATAGGCTCTTGGTAACTGTTGATTTCTAGTCTGCCTTGCAAAGTGCAGCTATCTGTCTCCCCCTAGTATTTGTATAACTATCTTCCGTAGACCAAGTACTATTACACTCGATATGATGTGTTGCAAGTACAATAATTGTTTAAAGTATGAATTTGTTCTTTTTCTGTAAGAACTGAGCTAAAAATCAGCCAACTCTTAAGCCATTTTATATCTAATCTATTTAAGTTCCTACAGAGGTAAAATCTATCAACCACCAGGTGTTGCACACTTGGTTGTAAAAGTGCAAGACTGAGAACAGATTATAAATAGTTCAAAATATGGATGCTTAGGCAGTTACATAGCTCTCCAACAAAAGCAAGAAGCAGGGAGAGATGTGTCAGAAGATGCCTTCAGTAGTGCAACAAGAGGCAACAACTCGACTAGATTAACACTTGTTGAAGAGTCACAGATACCAAAAAGTGCAGGCTATTACAAGCATACCAGAAGAAAATCTTCTAATCTCATTCAAATCCACCATATTGTGAGACGCTAAATGCAAATTATCTACAAATTTCAAGACTTGAATCATTATGAGCAAAACAAAATTGGATCTCCATGAGGAGAAAAACCACAAACATGATAATAAGCTCGTATGGCTAACTGCCCCATGAATCAAGAAAAATGAATTCCAGCCTTGTTAAAGAGAGAAAGTAGATGCATGAAATCTGCTTGTGCGAGCTTGGAAGATCTCTTTTCCTCAAAATTTCCTTCCTTCAGCACTGCCAAAACTTTCTCTTTGAATTCTGCTCTTTTCGTATCACCATCATCCATCTCAATGTCATCGTCATCATTTCCATCATCAGCATCCATACTCAAGTCTCCAAATGACTCTCCCAAGGTAGATACATCCAAAGCCATTTCCATATCATCTGAAGGAGCTTTCTCAGAGAACTGTAAAGCTTGCAAAGTTCTATAGTTCTTTTCCAGTATGTTGAGCACGGATTTTTGTCTAAAAATAGAACCTATAGTTTTGTTTTTCCGGTTGAAACAGATCCTGACCAAACCATCCCACTCCTTAAAATTGACAGGAGTAAGTGGTCCCCTAGGTTCAATTCTAACTACAGAAGAATCAACCTTTGGTGGTGGCCTGAAATTATTCTTTCCCACCTTCAATAAGTGTGATACTCGGGCCAACAGCTGTGTGTTCACAGAAAGGCGGCAATAAAGAGTATCACCAGGTTGAGCAACAAGTCTCATAGCAAATTCTCTCTGGAACATTATTACTGCAGCTCTGAATAAAGGCCTATGAGCCAATAATTTGAAGGTGAGAGGAGATGATATTTGATATGGGATGTTAGCCACACAAATATCGAAGTAAGGGAGATCACACTTAAGAACATCCCCTTGTATAACCTGCAGCACAGAAGATCAGAAGATCAGAACAGTTTTGCATCTCAACGTAAATAGATAATGATGGGAAGTGCATTAAAATGAAAGCAAGGATAATATCTAGACATAAAACCAAAAGGAACATCAATGAAGAGTGATGCCATATGAATTGTCTATTATGTAAGTGAATTCTTATTTTCATATTGCTAACAGCATGACCATGATAATAAGTCATGAAGTTGTCAACCATGCATGACAGTTCCAGTAAAGTAAGCGGCTACTCACTGATCAGAGAATGCAAGCCTATGCCCTGTAGAAGGAAGCAATTGCCAGAGCCCATCTTTATCATAATTTTTTTTTTGATCAAGTAATAAAGAAATACATAACAAAATAGGAAATTATGGATGTGAGTCTAAACCAGGCTCCCAAATCATTGGAAATCAGAGGGAGCAGACATGTCAACTCGATTCAATTTCTGTGCACACAATTATGATAAAGCAAATTCCTCCACAGAGGATAATTGCTCTATAAGTCAAGTGTTCAGAGGGGAGGAATTTGCTTTATTATAATTATGCCAATTTCAGACTGCAGAGATCAACTTTGTATCCACAAAACCATCTCAAAATCTCATCCTTGGAATCCACAGTCGGGAAAGTATATAATCTTCTAGTTTGAAAATTCAGTTAACATAGAACTGCAGTCTCTTTGGAAACTGAGAGAAACGGATCCAGATCTGGTTGCATGAAGGGAACCATTTCAAGCTTAGGTCAGTAAGGTTGCCAATTGTTTGTTCCACTCCCAAAGAGAAGCTTGTGACTAAAGGGTGCAATAATCACAAAAAGTTATTGGGTCCACATACCATAACAACCTTATGGGTGATGTCGAACTTAGATAAGTAACCATTTCTATAACTTGAACTGTGGAGTGAGTTCATTAAGAAAAGACGTTACTCTATATAAGGCCATTTTACCATACTCAAAGCAGCCATAATTAAAAAGAACCACTGAACCACCAACTCAAAACCAACACTTCACCTCAGTTCCTCAGTTAGACTAATTCCTCATTCATCCAACTATTACGTGGAATGGGCTTAACCTTCTATCTAATGAAACCGTCTGTCTTCAATTCAAAACACAATAATGGCTGAATTAGTTAGTTTCCTGAAATGTGACTACTAAGTGTGAGAATGGGAAGATACATGTTATGGGTCACCGATTTAGCGTCACTCTTTCATGAACCGAACAGATCCAAATGAGAGCTTGTAGTTAGTTTCTTCCTTAATAAAAGAAAAAATCACTAAATGCTAACACATGAAAATGCTTCCCCACCAAAAAAACAACATAAAACCACTGATTATTTAACACACAACATTTGAATCAAAATTCTATCTAAACAAGTAGTTTCGAAACCGCAATATTACCAACCAAATAAGTATGATTAAGCACATCTTTTCAACCCTGATAACATATTACCAACCAATCAAACATCACTAACCCAATTTGCATTTATAACAAACAACAACCAATACATTCTGTTTCAGTTAAACCTCTTCTATTCCAATGCTTAATATTCGCAAATCTCATAATTAACTAGAATGAATGCTGACAAACAAAGAACATATCAAGAATAAGCTTTTTCTTTTCTTTTCAAAGCTACACTAAGTTCACATTAGAGTAATTTAAGCAATAAATATCTTACAAAAACAAAACTGATCAAATAAAATAAGATACCTTCAGTCGGTTAGATAAAGGAGTTCCCTGAAACCTTCGTTGCAACTCGAGAACCATACGAGGATCAAGTTCAACAGCAATAACAGACTTTCCGGCTTCTAGAAGCTTCTTTGTAAGATTACCGGTACCAGGACCAATTTCGAGGATAACATCGGTAGATTTAATTCCGGATTTCTGGACAATAGAATCAACCAGTAGAGGATTTTTCAGAATGTGCTGACCCTTCGACTTGTGGAACGATATCCCTCCCTGGAAGTGAGGATTTGAGGAAGCGGATGATGAGCCCCGCTGAGGCTTGTCTTTCTTCATCTTCCCTCCCGCCATGATGAAACTTTTAGACGCTTCCGGCGAGACTCCGGCAAAGAAATTCCCGTCGGAGAGGTGAGAGTAACTGTCTTAAACCTTTAGGAACTAAAATTGCCGCGAACACAGAGCTAGGGTTTTTAGAGTAATGACTTAGCTTAATTGGGCTAATAGAGATTTTTTTGGGCCTGACTGATTCGTTTTATATTGGGCTAAGGCCCTAAATTTACTTGGGTTACGGCCTTTGTGAGAAAAAATAGAATTCGAAACATAAGTAAATTTTTATTTTTTCAATTATCCTCAACTCTTTAACAAATAAATAAGTAATTCATGGAAATCTAGGTTAACATTTTTATTTTAATCCAATTTGAGAGTTTTGTGTTTCTCTAAACAGTTACCTTTTTGTGTCCTACAATATACGATTTTTTCTTTTATGTTGTCTAATATCTCTAAATGAAATTTTATATATATTTTAAATACTATAAAAGTTTAGTATATTTTATAATGAAGGTTTTCATCGATATCTCAACTTGGATGATAATGGAATAAAAAATAAATTATCTGCATTCAGTGTTTTATATCAAACAAATATATACATGACACTTATCTCTACTAAGATGGTTATCATATCTTAACTTATCACTTAATCATGATAAAATAATTTGATTAGGGTAAATATCTTGTGCTAATAAATTTTTATCCCCCTTATATATTTACATTGTATACCACTACACCTACAAATATTTTTAAATTTTGATATGCAATCCTTAGTCATTATCTTCTATTTTATATATTTATATTTTTTGTTTGTTTCAAGTTTGGGATGAGATGAAGAATACCGCCATGAAAATCATGGAGCAAAATAGGGTTCTAAGAGGGAGTTTTCTAATGATTTTCGTCAATAATTTGAGTAAGTTTTCTGTTTAGTTATTACTACTATCGCTATATATGCTTCTGCTTTATCTTAGTAGGTTTACTTAATTTTAACAATTGATCACGTTCGAAACTCATCGGGTAAGAGATAAGTAATATCATTTTTCTATTTGTAAAGAGTAACTAAGTAGCTTGACTAATTAAGTAGTAAATAAGTGAGGCAAAAAGTTGCCAAAGAAGTCTTGTGTAGAGTTATGATTTCTCAAATTATTGGATTGGACTAATTAATGATTTGTTCCCCTAATCTTCTTGCTTGTGAGTTCCCCATAATGTTTTTCCTACTTATAAATCTTAACAAACTATTTGCTGTCCAACATCTATCTAATCCTATAATCTCTAATTTCCAAGATTAAACAGGTCATGCGTTCAATTGAGAAATCTTCAATCAAACAACATTGTTGAATTAATACGGCTTGATTCTGAAATTCAGAAAGTTGAAACTTGGCTCTAGTTTCGCTGTTCATCAACAAAGCACCATTAGAATTGCTCCTTAGTTTTTACTTCTTAAGCCAAAACTTTACCATAGTTGTCCCTCTTATTATAAACCCTTCTCTTCGTTTTTTTCCATCTTTTTAACTCAAATTTAATTGCAACCTGAAATCGTGCAACTTACCTAAGAATCAAGCCATATTCATTATTTAAAAGACGGCACGTAAAGGTGCAAATAAGCAAAAGAACTCTATGATTAATTGATGGACAAGACTCAGAAAAATACATGAGTGCAATTAAGCTGATGCATTAACATGTATTTTATTATCATTTTTTTTTTTGTATCTTCCCTCTGAAGTCTCAATGATTTGCAAACTTGTTTATACTTTTTTCTTCTTCTTAAAGCTTATTTAGTTCTATTGTAATATTATGAAAGAAAATAATAAGCAGATTACAATCAATCAGCCTTTTGTATTATCTTATGTTTGAAAGATCATTAGATACCGTTATGTAAAATGAGAGTTCAGTTTATTTACTAGTTGAGCGAATAGCTATGTATAGGTCAAACATCTCTATCTTGAAGTTAGATAAAATGTTCATTTGCATCGATTAAAACATACATATATAGGCTAATTTGCATCAACTAAAACATACATAGGCTAAAAGAAAGATAAAGGTAGAAAGTTCTAGCTCTACTTACTGGCAGGGTAATAAAAAGGTACTTGCAACAAGAAATAACATTAAACAAGATCTTATGTCATTACTAGCTAATTGAACCCCTACTAGTTTGTTGTTTTCCATACGGACTGTGCTTCTTGGTTCACATCTTGAGTTGGATATCCTCCGCTAACTGTAGCATAATTGGTAGAATATTGATCATTTGCTTGTTGAGGAAACATCCAATTGGTATTTGGCTGCATATACGCCATTTCATAGTTTGGTACAACATTCTCTGCATAATTGTTGTTCACCATCTGATAACTGGAGTCTAGGCCACCTGTAGCAGCAACAAGGCTTCTATTTTCATGGTGCTCGGGCAATGAGTAGGGAAATGCTGGTTCGTTGTAGGATGTAACTTGATTTTCCTCCAGCAAATAGTTCTTTAAATTGTTTAGCATTGTGTGATCCACTTGACCATTTCCTATCGAGTCATTTTGCTGATACATTGCTTGATGATCCTGTGTTGTAGTAATCCAATCAGCTTGTTGATCTGGTGTTGAACCCGCTGGCAACATTCCAATAGTTTGATTTCCCATAGTAGCAACATTCACCATGTTGTTTGATCCTTGGCCACCCCAAAGCCCACTTATACTCTCACCTGCATGAGTCACATAACCTTAGTCAAATCAAAATGAAAAGGTTCTTATCGAATTTGGGCTAAATATACAACATAAACAAGCCCAAATTTTTAATAAGCATTAGTTTCGGGTTATGACACTATAACCACAGTTATACATGATTCATACCTGCTACGGGATAACTTGAACTGAATTGTCGAAGAGGTTCACGAACATTAGGGAGTAATGCAGTAGACGACGAAGAAGAAGTCAAGTGATGAAAAGGATAATTGAGAAGAAGTTGTGATCCATAGTCATTGCCAATTGAGAAATCTGAAACCAGATCATTATTATAATCTGGTTGTTCAAAAAAAGGACATATTTGGCTAGGGAAAGGTTTTTTGCTTAGTTCATTCAGCCTTGCATCACAACGTAGCAACTTCTCATAGTGCCTGTCAAGTACTCCTGGAGCAAATCTAACGCAATGCCTCCTAAAAAAGACATATGTACAAGTTACCAAAAAAAGTTTTGAATTTGTATAATAGAGAATCGTAATAATTTACTTATTATTTAGTTTTCACCTGTGAATAGGAGCTTGACCTCCAGTAAAATCAGATGTCTGCTGCCACAATGTGTGCTTTCGAGGTTGAGGATTTGTTTCACGATGAAACGTAGGTGGTTCTTTCAACTGTATCAATGATGATTTTATATATATCGTAAAATTGATTATTAAATCTAAAATTATGTATATAAGCAAAAAAAATAAATAAGAAATAGTACCTCAAGCTCAAGAACTCCTGGTTGTTCACCTGGTGGCATGATGGCTCTAATAGCAATGATATCTGGCCATTGAATTTCAATTTTGCTCTTAAGAGGCCCATCTAGAAGTTCCCAAACTAATTTTCTCTTTGCATAATAGCATTTCGCAATCAGATCACCTTCATGCTTCGAAACTCTCTGCCAAATTTACAGTAAGTTATATATTAATTTTTCAAAAAAATTAAAGGTAATTTTTTTTATTAAAATATTTATAACATAAGATATATTTTGTATTTTTGTATTAAATTATTTAAGTATTTAAATTAGTAGTCAATCTTTTTTATAACTATATCCAAGGAATGCATTATAAACACATAACTAATAACTTATTAATTTTATACTTTTTAAAATGACTAATAGTGAATTTAGGCCACTGTAAGAAGAAGTGGCTAGTTATGAATCGATTTATATAAATCATAAATATTTGTTATATTTACGGATTTGAATGAATTTTTTTTAAAAACATTTCTAATTCTCAAATTAATTTTATTAGAATTATCAACAAATATAATTCTAGAAAAAAACAATTATTATTTCATTTATCTAATATCATTTTTTATTATTATTATTTTATAAAAAATAGCTTATTAAAAAGAAAAGATAAATGGAATATGGTTTTCATATACGTTACTGTGAAAATAAAAATAAAAATAAAAATAAATAAATAAATTATAACAGAACTAAAAAAAGAATTATAAATGAAAATATCACATAAGAACTAAAAAAAAATGTGCAGAAAAAGCATTATAAAAACATATTTAATTATAAAGTTTTAATTTTTTTGTTTTTTGCGTAGAAAAGTAACAAGCATTGTTTAGCAAATATAAAAAAAAAATATTGTTATAATGAAAAGATTATTTACCTCCCAAACACCAATAATGAGTTTTATAGCAGGAAAGTTGGCAGCCTTCAATTTTTCTGAAACAATAGCAAAATCTTCCATGTTGCGGGAAGACTTTGATGGCCTTCCTACCCGGCGTGTAGAGCCGTTGTTCTTCATTTTCACCTGTGAAAGTTTTGATTCTAATAAGTTCACGAAAGATGGTGTCTTGCTTAGTGTTAGACCAATAAGTTCTGTATCCTGAAAAAAGTTTGTTAATTAATGTGTTTAGTAATAAATAAAATAATAAAATATTTACTTATTTTATAAATAAAATGAATAGGTTAAAAAATGGAAAAATTAATACATTTTATGAAAACGGACAAATGATATAAATTTTATCAAAACAGTCTATCAAACTTGTTTGTTAGTTCAATAATTTTGATTTCTAGTATAAACAAAAAATGTATGTATGAGATTATTTTATGAAAATGAATTATACTCGATCAATTTACAAAATGATTTCAAGATATCTTCCAAAAACATAAAAAACAAAAATTAAAAAAAAAATATTCTTGAAGATTTGAAGATTAAGTGGAGGTTGTTTTTTGATATAGATGAGTGTTATGGAGGGGCCATGATGTGCCGACTTTAAAAAGAACTAAAAGAAATGTGCGGAAAGAAGATTATAAAAATATTTTAAAAAAACACATGCAGAAAAAAGAAGAAGATAAAGCAACCATGCATATTGGCTATGGCTACTTAAATTTAAAAGCTTTACACCTAAGCAAACCATGGAAAATGGCTAACAACAAACCTGAACCTCTGAGTTAGAGTTGAAT